GTGTAAATAATTTGCATTTGGATGTGTAATGCATTTATAATAGCCTATGTTAAATTTATTTCACGTTAAAATTGTAATATTTGCAAGCAGCTTCATCCCTTACGTTATAATGACGATTCAATGGGAACTTGGTGAAATCTTGGAGATAGAGCCAAGTTGGCATCATTTTTGGCGACCCAGTTGTCGACACTGGTGACCATTTTGGCTACTTGGCGACCATGTTCACAAACATTTTTGGCGAGTTCGTGACTCCATGGATTCTTCTTGAAATTAGTGGAGAAATCCACTTACTTCATGATCTATGACCCAAGAGGACTTTCTCGAAGAATCCACGAAACCTATAAATATGGAGACAGTCACAGGAACTGAGTAGTATTGTTTTGACTAGCGATTAGTTAGTATTGCTTTGACTAGCAATTAGTATTGCATTGACTAGCGATTAGGGGACTTGTCTTGACCGTGAAGAGTCGAATAGCGATTAGCTGGGCTGTGCTGAGTAGGTCAAGCGGTGCTTTTGAATAATCTAGCCTACATGTATTTTAGTCACTGATATTGTGTCTGAGCGCTGTAGAAGACCCGAAGTCCTCCTGATATTTATTCTGTGAATTTTGCTGCTGAATCCTGTATTTCAAGGATTGATTTTCGACAATAAATTCTCATCTCTCCTAAAAAACACTCTTGTTCTTTGCGACTGATTTGCATAAAATCCTTGAACTCCGATCAACGTATAAAAGTAGAAAATATCCCCAATTCAATAACAGATGACAGAAAAACTTTGCACAATAGCTTTTAATTATACCAGGGAATGAACAGAATAATACGGATTAAATTAAAATTTCTTATAAAAAAAAGAAGGATAATTACATATAAACGGATTTTAAACTTTCCATTTTCTTTGTATAGAGAATTAAATCTTTGAATAAAAAAGTGTGTTAATCCCTCAAATTTTCAATTCTTCAACTTTGATGTCTAGGTTTGCTATTCATTCTTTTAATGACCTTCAGGATAAGAGATATTTTAATTTTTACAAAAACTGGAGCATTTTATCTTAGTTATTATATTAAATTGCTTAAAAAACAGCGATTATATTCACATAAGGGACTGTAATTTTTTTAAATAAAACAGTGTATGTTATAACGCACAATTGCAAATCTTTAAATCAAAATAAAAATTCAGTCCACATTTTTAGGTTAACATAATTATAACGAATTACAATTATTTTTCCAATTCCATCCAGTGATCGAAATTAGTTGTTTTATTTTAGTTGAAACACAATCCATTGCAAAAAAGATCTTTTAAGCAAAGATCTCAATTTAGCTCAAAACAGTCACTACGACATTAAGTCTCGCCAATAATATTGACCAGTTGATAGAAGCAGTAAATACTAGTGTAACTAAATATTTTTTATGTACTATTATAAAATTGCTAAGTAATCTAAATAATTTCTACGCTTTACAATTTTTTTTAAAATTAAGACTTTAATGGAAGCTATAAGAGTGTTAAATGTAATTTTAAGTACATTAAGGAACATTGAAAATAGCGACCCAAGAAGGAAGCTAAGTACAATCGCGAAGCTTTGCAAATAAGTACAGCGTAATGTGATATGCAAATGATCCAAGTTTTGCGCCAATACGCAAGCTCATACACGCCGAGGTGGCGCTACAATCAGGAAGAGGGTTCTATATAAGCCAGCGCAAATTCGAAGATTCATAAATGTGACGATTACACGACGATTGTAGGAAGACTTTGGTAAGCGAAACATGCCAGGTAAACGTGCTAGAAGACATTTCTCACAGTTAAGCGAGTTTGAGAGAGACCTGATCATCGGGATGAAAACTGCAGGCTGGTCGACGCGCCATGTTGCTGGCCAGGTGGATCGTTCAGAGTGTGCCGTTAGAAATTGTTGGGAGCAGTGTACACGATAAGGTACCCATGTGCGAAAAACCGGGTCTGGAGCGACCAGGAAGGCCACGAGGAGAGAGGATCGAAGGATCGTGTGGCAATCACTTGTGGTCCCCACAGTGACTCGTTCAACGATACGAGCATACGTAGGTGTAGCCATTGTCCCACAAACAATTTCCAGACACCTTGCAGAAGCAAATCTTAAATCCAAGCGCCCTTTCCGTGCACTCCCTTTAACACCAGAATATCGGTAACAGCGTCTACAGTGGTGCCAAGCCAGATCAATGTGGAATGTCACAGATTGGCAAAAGGCTGTGTTTAGTGATGAATCCCGGTTTGTTTTGGGGATAGATGATAACCGTGTACGGGTGTGGAGGCGCCCTGGTGAGCTGTACAATTCCCCCCACACTGTTCTACGTCACACTGCCCGCGCAGCTGGTGTAATGGTCTGGGGGCCATAGCTTCATGATAGCCGGTCCACTTTAATTGTGATGCGTGGAACCTTAACGGCCAACGTTACTTTGATGATATTCTTTCTCGACCCCATGAAGGACCTTTTCTAAATGTTCTCCCAGGGGCAATTTTCCAGCAAGATAATGCTCGTCCGCATACAGCAAGAGTTGCTCAAGACTTCCTACGTCATTTTCAGACTCTTCCAAGGCCGGCCCGCTCTCCCGATTTGTTCCCTGTAGAGCACGGGTGGGATCAGCTAAAACGGCAGATGTCATCGTGTCACTCTGTACATGATTTAGAGTCGGCTGTTCAAGATTTGTGGGCCCATCTGCCTCAGGACAACATAAGGTGTCTAATCAACTCAATGCCGGACCGTGTGGCGGCATGTATTGCAGCTGGAGGTGGTCCAACGCGCTATTGATGTCGCCCAGTATTTGTGTCGTTAAACATTCTGTATTCGTTTAATTGTCTTGTTTTTGAGATCAAGTGAATCACTCATCTGTGTCATTATGTGTATTAAATTTCATTTCAATCCGATGCTTTCTTCTTGGGTCGCTATTTTCAATGTTCCTGAGTGTACATGAATGTAACAAAAACATTATTAATAAGGCTTTTATAATCCTATCTATAAGCTCATGACTTCAAGACAATTTTTTAAAGTAATAATACATTTTAACATTTATGCATCGTTAAATGCGCATAACGCGCACTTTTAACACAAAAATAAGATCGAAAATTTACGGGTGCGCGTTACACGCTGGGTATAAATGTGAGAGCTTTAAAAAAAAGATGAGCATAGAAAAAAAATTAGACTTCTACAAATATCGAAATACTGTTTATGTAAAAAAATGACACTCCTTATGAACTTAAATGGTTGTAGTTCTAGAAGTATACTATCTTTTCTATACCTTGGAATAATGCCTCGAATCATAAGAGCATTGAATAAGTACATTTCAAATTTCTTCGTAAGCAAACGAAGATACAAAAACTAAAAAAAAAATATGCTTTTATTGTAGATCGTTTTTTGTTTGTTGTATTTGTATTAAGCATGAGCGTTTTCGCCTTAGGGTTATAACAATATTTTAGTAGCTAAATCTGGAAATGCGATCTGAAATTAGTCCCCAAATCTGGAAATGGGAAATCGTCAACCCTAACGATCGTGGTCAGGACAATGGAGCAAGATTGTTAAATTACTGTATTGTCATCGATCCTTGACAAGCGTGCAAAATTTTGAATTAATCTGACTTTTTAAAGTGGGTAAAAATCGAATTCAAAGATTCCGTTACATACAGTTGAAGCCAATAAAAGCGTGTTAAAAAGGGGGTACGCGTAAAACGGCGAACATACCTAAAAATTAAAAAATGCAGCTCGAAAGTATAGGTGCACGTTATACGTCCGATTAAAAAAAAAGTAATCTTATTTTTTAAAAAAACATTCTTAGAAATTCAGTATAATTTATTCTTCTTTATTCCTTTCTCAATTATTTTTGAAATAATGATTTAACATTTTTTAATCAAAATGTATGAATACATAATATTATATTTACGAACAATGTTCCATCCCCCCTTCCATTAACTAGAGGAGATTTGTTCAAATAAATCAAAAATCCAATTTTTGCGAAATTTCTTTTCTTTTTCTTTTTTTAGAAACAAAATCGTCTGTTGTAAAAACACAAAATATTTCAAAATTGCTTCCTGTAAAATCTTAAGCTTTCCGGTATATGTTTTGATTTAAAATGTGTATTTCGAAACAATTTTCTCTTCCTAAGTCCCCTCAAAGGTCATTGAACTCAAGAAAGCCTTGTAAGTATTGCAAAATATTTTCCTAAGAAAAATAATTTTACTTTCCTATATTTAGCCTAGAGGGAAAACAGAATGAAATGTTTGATTTTAAAATGGAAACAAGAAATATTTATTTTGAAAAATATTTAATAAAATACATTTTTCCGGGAAAGTAAATGCATGCGCTTTTGTCTTTAATGGTACTTTGTTTTATAATGAAATTCACTTGTTTTCTTGCGTGTACGTATTAATATATTTATGCTAATTTCGTTCGGTTATTTCAGTATTTTGTCTCCAATATTTTTGAAATTGACTGTCTCTCAGAAAATTTTCTGTATTGAATGTTTTCACTTATTTAACAGAAAAAAATTGAAATAAATAAGAATTTGATTTTAATTATTTATCATTTATTTATTTGTCTTAAGGGATTTAAGAGATGTATGGGATGATTAAAATTGGAGTTCCACCAACAAAATACTGTAAACAAGTAATATTAAGTTTTTACGAAATTCGAACTTGTCTTAAAGCAATAAACTGAATGTTTTTTCCCTTTAAAGTTCATTCAAGAACAAGTAATATATATAAAAAAATGAAGTCAATTACTACTTAGGTCAACAAAGAAAAATTTCATTTTAGTTATTTCTTATTAAAAAATTACAATTAACATAAATATGTATATACATATGACAGAATCATTACTATTAAGTGACATAGAAAGCGATTTTCCTCGCAATTTTCCATTTTTCTTTCTATATAGGGTATTGGACTATTTTTTCTTGTTTGTTACTATTTGTTCATTAATTAAATTTAATTATTTCAATAAAATAGTACAGTAAAAATAAATCACACACTCAGAAATCAGGCCATCCCACGTGGGATTCCAACCCATGACCTTTGGATTAGAAGTCCAAGGGGCTATCCATTGCGCTTCTGGGACACGACAAGCGATTTCCTTTTTATATATGGTGTTGGAGTATTATTTTTGTTTGTTACTATTTATTCATTAATTAAATAGAATTAATTAATTAATATTCGAAAAAACTGTAAAAACATCAAGTATCACACCCACTACAAGTTTAAAAAAGTGTATTTGAATTTCAGTGGATGAATGAAATGTATTTTATTAACGATTGAAAATTTGTGAACAAGGTATATATATAAATGTATGTATATATATATAAATGTAATAATTCCCTCTAGTATCATTTTTATTAACTCTTCGTACTAATATTTAAAATAACTTTAACTATTTGATTTAAAAAATTAACATTGTAATCTTAATCGTAATCGGCTAGTCCGAAATCCCTGTCCCGCCCATTCTAGCCAATCAGAAACTATTATTACGTAATAATCACTGTTGATATAAAAGCAAAAATCTGGTGTAACCGTTCTTTTTGTCCGCCTGCCTTCATCTTGTAAGAATGTAAATAGCTGCTCTCTGTGTCTTTGTGTTGTGTCCTCCAAGATGTTGCTGCTACTTGTCTTCAGTCAGCTTTGCTTTATAATCGTCGCAAGTTTGTTTGTCTCGTCAACGGGAAAATGTACCGCAATTTTGTTCTAAGCTTTTGATGTGTGCTTCAAAATAAAAAAGATGAACGTCCACTGAGTATGTATAAGTATGGCATAAGAATAAAAGTTCAAAAATATATCTATAGATGGCGCTGTAAGCGGCCTAATGAAAGAGGATTCGTTTATGACACTTCAAATCGAATTTTGATACTTCGGTATAAGTTTAATGTTAAAAGAACTGCACTGTTCAATGTGCGTGATTGTTTCCCTTTTTCGGTAGGAAAAAAATGACTTTTAAGTCATTCTAATCTAAGTCCAGTTGTGCAACTGTCAATAAAGAACCCATTTACCATGGCAAGGTCGTACTGCATTGGATGGGAAAATTAGTTGTTAATTGTACTTAGGACAAAAGTCACTCAAAAAGCAGTAATTATACCATTCACCCGTCTTCAAGAATATTTAATTCAAATTTGAAGTCATTCTAAGCAGTGGTTCCTTTTTACAAGATTTTGAAAATGAAACTTAATTTTTATCACCCTGTATTAATTAGCTACTCTTATTTGTTAAGGCCGTATCACATGTATATTTTTGGTGCAATGTTTTTGACCAATTTTTTGTCCTATCTGAGCGTGAAGGGTTGCAGTAAACAAAACGACATGTTCTTTCTCCACATTGAAACATTAATCGCCGATTTTTCTGCTCGACAAACGAACATCCGAAATTATTTCTTTTATTTCGCTCGTGCTTTTGTTGATGGGCGTAAACAGAAATGGAGCCTCATTCTATTTAAAATATTATACGCCGTTAACATATTATACACCCTCAAAATATAATATGCCGTGTCTGATGCGTTCGACGAAATCGAAGCCGCCATCTTGTTTATGACATAGAGTGCCGAAGAACCCCATTGGCTAGAATTTCAAGCAACTTTAATTCGGAACAACTTTTTGAGCTCACTAGCAAAAAGTTGATCGAAAGCTGTTGCTATGGCAACTGAGTAAAAATTGCACGAATTGGACAAAAAATTGCTCGAAACGTGTGATACGGCCTTTACTCTTTTATATTTTTAAAACTTATCAAACTTACTAAATTGAGTACTTTTGAGTATTCTTGTTAAGATAGTTTAGACTAAATAAATACATTTTCTTCTTATGATTTTCAAATTCAAAAGATCTCTAGATTAAAATAAGGAAATTGAATTAATTAATTGTAATTATATCACGTTATAATTAACAATAAATATTTTTAGTAAACACAAAGAGCATAGAATCCTTTACGGAACAACTTATTTATCATCAATGTAATTTAAATCTATTTTCCATATCCTTAATGCATTTAAGATTCATTTAAATATCTAAGTTTCACAATGACTCTCTCAGGAAATATATAGACTCTCTATTAATCTTCAACTGATTCACAAAGTCCATTAAATGTCCCAGGTATAAACTTCCTATTCAGGAATTCAGTGGCCAGCATTAGCCTGTTGAGAATAGTTCAAAAGGCCTTTGTAGTTACATGATTTAAATGTATTGACTTGATACTAAAATCCCTTGTGAAATATTCTAGAATTTTAGTAATCTGTTTGAAGGTGATCCGATGACTATTTCCTGTTGCATTGAGGAATGGATTATTAAGAGAATAGCGATCGTTTTTTTAATATAGGGGATTAAATATCATTTTAATAACCCATGAATGCATTTAAAATTGTTTATTTTATTTTGTATGATTGAAATATCCAATAGGAGTTAATTACGTATCAAAATAAACAAGAAAAGAATCATTGTGTATTGATTTGAAATATTTGAATTGTTACTTAAATGGAAAACGATTTTTTATTGATTCAAGATTATTTTCGTTTTACGTTAAAGTGTAGAACACAAATTCAGAATTTTTTTCCAAACTGAAAAAAATCTGGAATTAATATAAAATTTTGTTTTTATTATCCGATAAAAAAAGCATATTTTGTTACACTACTTTTTCATGCTTGATGAAAACAATTTTTTTTTCAATATAAAATATGTTTAGTAATTTGTCTTCTAAATTGTAACTTTAAATTGCATGCAAATTGGTACGTAATTCTGCATGCTGTAAGATAAAATATTTAAGAATATCTTAAGGATTCAACACACACATGATAAAAGAATATGTGAGTGTAATAACTTTATTTTAATATTGGGACACATTTTCTACTTGAAATATGTTTTTACGACGAAAACTAGAAAACGTAGTTCCAGTTCTTACGCATTATCGCGATGTATATATGGAAACGATTTTTTCAGTTATCTTCTACTGAATGACTTTAAAATACATACCAATAAATACGTACTTCCAAAGTGGTATTGATTATATTTTGCAATTTACGTTTTATAAATTTAAGTAATTCTTTTTGTTATTCTCATAGAAATACTTAAAAGTGATACACGTTTTTCCGTTAGTAAATCAGGTTTAAGAGAAATCTTTTAAAATAGTTTTAAACATTAAATTTAAACAAATTGTCTTAGCACTTAATAATATTGAAGAATTTTTAAATAGTAAAAAAGGAATGTGTTTGATTCTCCTTTTGGCTAATTTTGCTATACAATCTTTGCAGTGTGCTGTTTTATTTATAAAATTTATATGATAATACTAAAAATAAAAATTGAATAAACTATTTATTTTAAAGTTAATACGCTACTATACAAATCTTAATTTTAGAATTCCATAAATTTTGTTGTGACAGGAAAATTTAGTTGCAAAATTATTAAAGAAATTTCTTATCATAGGAGCTGATATTAAATCAAATATTCTTGATGCATCTTTAATGAGGAAACACAATAGAAGCACCAAAATTCAAGATCAATACCTAATATATTCCTCTAATATAAATCAATTCATCATACAATAAAAATCATAAGTTGAGGTCTGCATTCACCAGGTTTAAACCTGACTTTAATGGCGTGGTAGCTCCTTCTGTAAATTGCATATATATCAATCTTTCATTTTCCTTGAATATTTTTGAATCTAAGATCTTTCGGCAGTGTTTATTAAACTTTCAATGTTTGCGACCCAGTTTTCAATCTTAATTTTCATCGTGCCCCTTTCACACACTAGCAATTGAATGCACTAATAATGCACTCTGAGGTTAAAGCTACAATACAATTTTAACGCCTTTTTATAAGTTTCACTTGTATGTAACGGAATCTTTGAACACAATTTTTACCCACTTTAAAAGGTCAGATTAATTCGAAATTTTGCTCACTTATCCAGGACCGATGACAATACAATAATTTCAAAATTTTGTTCCATTGTCTTGTTAAGGAATTTCAGGATTACCGGTTTCCCATTTTCAGATCCAATCCCGTATCCGGTGACTAATTTCGGATCCCATTTCCAGATTTGACTACTAATTCCAAATTTGGCGACAAAAAGATTAAGTTACAGCTTAGTTCGATTAACTATAAAAGGGTGTTTTTCAGTTTTTTTAAACTATAATTTTTTAATTCTAAATCGTATAAATTATCAGGATAAGTATTAAATTTTGTATATGACTAAGCCTACGTGAATCACTAGTAATTACGATTATTAAACTTGTTCTTCATTTAGTATTTTGAGATAAATTATCAAATACATTGTACAGTACTGATACTCGTACATTTTTAAGTATATAATACTAGCTGTTATACCCGTTCTACGCACGGATGAATTAAAAAATTAAACAATACAGATTGAAGGATAAAGAAGTTTTTAATGACTTAATTTTACGTGAATTGAAAATTAAACAAAAAAAAAAAAAAAAAAAAGCCCCTTTTTGCATACCTCAGCTGAATAAAAACCCTGTTTGTTAAATTTTAAGTCTGTAGATATAATAGCTGATAAAAAGGATTTTTTTTATCTATAATAACACGTAACTCTCTTGTGGGTAGATTTTTTAAAGTACCTTCCTAAGCCGATCTCTGCTCAGCAAAAGTAACACATTGTTACAAATTTTGTGTAATGAACGCTTAAAGTAGTATAAATAATTTATATCTGGAAGTGTAATACGTTAATATTACTTTATGTTGTATTTATTTTATGTTAGAATTGTAATCAGCTTCACACTCCGCCTGTTCAAGCTTTCGCAGTGCCTGGTGTAGACAAAACAAAATGCAAAGTTTTGCTTCATACATAAAAGATAGATATATGCTGTCGCGGGCTTTTTTGCAGATGGCAGAATTTTTTCCTACTTACTTGACAATAATCATTATATTTTGGAAACTTCACACAATATCTTTATAAATTATAGCCTATGTATTATTCTGATGTATAAGCTATATTATTGTAAAGTTTCATTAAAATCCATTTAGTTGTTTTTGCGTGAAAGAGTACCAAACATCCACACAAACTTTCATGTTTATAATATTAGTAAGGATGAGTGTTAATTTGTATTTATTTTTATTATGTCCGAATGTA